GCGCCAAAGCGAAGGCTTTGCCCAAATGATTGGAAATCAATCACATCGTAGCTGCATTTTTTCCTGCTGGTATTGGCCAAATTCAGATGATGAATCATAAATTATACCAGAAAATCTTTTACATTGCACATTGTTTCATTCGGTTAAACCCAAGCAGTAGTAAAGATCTTGCCTGGCCACTCTGACTCAGAGCCAGTAGGGACGACGCAGCCTGTTTTGCCGTGGCATTCAGTTGGCCCCTGTCAGTGTGCTTCTGGGTTATAAACCATGAAACTATATTATTGTAACCATTGGTTTCTTTTTATTGATGTCATTTATAACTTTGTGGTTTGCACAGCTACTGGGGCTCGTTCAGTCATCTATCATATGAACATCACTGGGCGTGGCATCCGATTCATTTGTGTGAGTCAATTGCCAGAGGTGAGTGAAGATGAAACAAGTGCTGCTGCTAGTGTGCTTGATCTGATATCTATTTTTGTTGACACAACTACACTTCTACAAGTAAGAAATGTGATTGAAAGAAAATCGACTTGAGACACTAACCCCTCGGGCCAAGAAGGTTGTCCATGATGATTCATGGGAGTTTCAGCCAGTGGATGCTAAGTCTGATCCTTTCTGGGTTTGTGAATCACAGCACTTCCAGGAGCAACTCAAACTAGGCAAACTTGGGTAATTACGTTTTGATTTCAAATTTTGGTCACCTATTATATCAATTTCAATTGTTTAGCACCATTATATAATTCATGAATCCATTCAGACTTGGAACAGGGCTTGGTGTCATTGTGGGAGATTCATGCCATGATCCATCCATACATTCACTAGATCTTTGCAATGTCGGTGTGTTCAACCTTTAACCTGTGTTGGTCCACTTTCACTAGAAATGCCTAAATCATGTGGGAAACCAGAATCACATGCATTCCCCAGTTAAGGGCTGCACTCCCAAATTAATAAAGCTGACACAGGAACAAGGGGTGTTACACTCACGCTGACCCAAGTTTTGGATAAAATGGGGTTACTACACGGCAGTTAAGTTCACAGAACAATAGGGCCACACACTGACCCGAATCCATTGCCAAGGCCTTAGATCCTCTCGCGTTGTTCCATGACAACGAGGAAGCTCGCCAATTCAGGCACAACCTCGGCAATCCCAGATGTAGGTACCCCAGGTTGTAGCACTGCAATTCTTCCAGAGTCATTGAACATTTCATTGGTTTGAAATCTTTGATCTTAAATCAGAAAGAACAGAATAAGGAGAATATAGTATATATATATATATATAGCACTCTGAATGATATCATCACTGGTTTAAAACCGTGGACATGGCTGTGCCGCCAGCACAGGTCTTTTCACAAGAAGGTCAGCAATGCTGTCTATGTGCCTTGGTGGTGGTCATTTACTGCAGATCAGCTATATACCTCTATGTATTATGTATTGTAAAATGTGGGTAAAACAATCTTATAAATCACCAATTTGGGAGTGGTAAACATACCACCTATAAAAATGGTATTGACTGGGGGATGGTTAGTTTATTAAAGCTGCTGGATAAAGCGTAATAAATCTGCTGTCATCCAAAAACCATGGACACTACTTCCTTTACATTAGTTTACCTCACTTGACCCCAACATACCCAAATTACTTTTTCTTGGCACTGAGGTATTGATGAAGGGCATGAACCACTCCCTCAAAGTGCTCGCAGACAAGACCTTGGAGAGTTTCATGATTCCTGGACCTTTGCCGCCTTTGGGCACTGCTGGGGTAAGGGTGCCTGTGGACCAACTGGACGACCGACCAATTCTTACCATGGTGCCTTATCATCATTAATATTCACAAGTCCTATGTGTAAAAACATTGAAACATACTATTGTAACACATGTATATTCTCTATCTATATTATATCTATATCTATATATATATATATATATTATGTCTCTCTCTCTTTCTCTCTTTGAATAATTTGGCCCAAAACTAAACCTGCACCAACTGAGGTAGCCGACGAGGAGGCTGTTGGCTTTCGCTGCTTCAACATACTACTTTTTCTTGGCCTTCGGGGCGTGGCAATCCCAGATACGAGCCATCAGCAATGGGGTGACTATGGTCGTGCAGTCACAGATTCTGGACTGAAGGGCGCAACTTTGAAGCTTACCCTGATATGTGCATGCGGGTCTGGTCCCTATACTTCTGGGAGAAATCATTTCACCAACAACAAAGCTGCTGAACTTCTCTTGGAGGGTAAGGAAGCCGAATGGTTTGATCAATTCAGCGATGACTACTGTTTCGACAAGCGTGTTGGTGAGGGGGACTTGCAGTTAACTGCAGAAGACTGGATGACATCCCCTGGCATCACTGGCAGGCTCAAACAGGCCAGGTGAGGTTTGGGGTGATGCAATAATAACAGAAAAAACATGTGTGTGTGTGATATGTGACAACATTGTTCCACACATGCCTCAATAGTCAATGATGATGTTGATGCCCACATTTTGAGATGTATAATACTGGACCATTTAACTGGTATTGCCCCAACATTGCTTTCACTTATTATAGGTATGATATACATTCATGCCCCTGGCCAGGCCAAAAACAAAAGCTGGTTCGGAGTGATGGAAGCCTATGATATGCTTGATTCGTGTTGGACCATCCTGTCTGAAACATCTCAATTTGCCCAAGTCATGCTGCAGAATTTGGAAGCGGACCAGTGGGATGTTGATGACGACGATGACGAGGCAACTTTCTTTTGAACATGCAGCCTTTCGGGTCCACATGTGTTTGGCAATGTTTCTCAATGGATACAACTGCTGGCATGAATTTGTCAACCTGAGGCGTCATATAATTCAATCTTCCAACAGATTTTAATCGATATTTAATTTGATTTCATGTAAGCATTTTAAATGCCAAAAAATGAATAATACCAGGGCCAGTCTACAGCCTTCAATTCTCCAGGACCAGCAGGAGGGCAATGCAGCAGCTGAAGACGTTGATCCTCAGACCCAAAAACAGCTTCAGCTTTTGCGAGAGAACTACCATAACCGTGGCTGATCTACTTGGTGACCGTTTCCTTCAGAAACAAGCTAGGCTGATATGCCATGTTTTGCGGCCCTTGCACAAAGAATACGCCTTGGATTTGAAAGCTCATGGGGATGGCCAAACACATGTTCTGTACTGGCATGGTGACCGGTGCTGTGGTTCTTACTACAAGGGCATGGTTGTTGAGACCTTTGGGCTTCTGAAAGATACCAGCATTATTTCCTTGTTCAACCTGCGGCCACAGCCTACTATTCCAGAAGAACTTTTGGAC